CAAAATATATAGATAAATTCCGCCGTTGCTGGTCCCAAGCCCGCTTGAGAAAGGGGGAGGGTTGGAGACCGTGGTGAAGTCTCCATTAAAGTTCACCACCTGACTCTCTTGGTATTGGCTTCATCGAAAATTGTACCGGCGCGGTCGTCGTACAGGTTACTAACGATTGCGCAGGATGTTGGGGGACTGAGGCAGGCAGCGAAAAGTCGGCGATCAGAACCTACTCATCACCTTCTGCCAGCCCGGGGCGTAGCAGCACCAGAACAGCTCACGAAGGTCGACGAGACAACGACGAGATACCAGTCAGCAGCGGAGTCGTTACACGTTCTTAACGGAGGAGGCAGACAGCGCAGTGCCATTATAGCACGTCGGAAAAGGGTTCACGAGAACGACACCACCAGTGGGAGCTTCATGTCTGAAATTGGAACATATCCTCACTCAGAGGAAAAGAATAGGAGTTAGTTGATGAGGTAATAAAGTACCAACTCGACATTGTTGAACTCTCGTCAACGAAACGCCAAGGCTCTGGAATCCCTCTGCAGGTGGAAGCTATTCTCCTCATGTGTTGATATCACGACGCGCTCTCAGTCCGGTATTGGTTTTCTGCTAGAACCCAACATCGCAGGTAGAATCACTACTGATAGGAAGCCTGACAGCGAAAGGGTGGTAATCCTCTGAATGACGCCACTACAGGCTAAAGGGTTGACCTTGGCACATCTATTCGCCCAATATAGAGGGAGAATATACCTTCCATGAGGAAGTGCAGAGTGCTCTGTCGGAAGTGCCAAATACGCAGTCTCTCGTACCCATGGGCGATTTTAATGCGCATGTCGGAGAACACGCTGAAAAGTGGAACGGCGTGATTGGAAAAAACGGCCCTAGCGGCCTCAAGAGCGGCATGAAGTTGTTACGGCTTTATGCAAACATCCGACTGTCCATTATGAACACTTTCTTCGAGCGTCGAAGAGTGCATCAGTATACCTAGTACCGGGAAGCTTGTGCACAGAAGTCGATGATCCATTTGATAATCGTGTCGGCTGACTTAAGACGCTCAGTAATGGATATTCGCGTTACGAGAGGCGCAGATCTCTGAGCCTATCAACACCTTGATGCTCCCACGCTGCGCTGTAAGGAATGAAGTACCATACGAGGATATGTCGCAGCGGCCATCAGAGAATCAGATAGGAAAAATCATCTTCGGTACAGACGAGACCGAAATTTGTAAACAACATCGCACGGCGGTTTGAAAGGATCCCAGAGATGAGCACTGATGTGGAAACCGAGTGGCAGCTCCCTAAGGGCGGGTTTCTCGAGGCTGCCGCCCAACGCTGCTGATTTAAACGGGTTGGCCGTCAGAAAAGATCTTCCCGGTGGACACCAGAGGCACAATTGACATTTGAAGAGACGAAGGCAGCGTTCAAAAAATGGCTTGGAGACAGAGAGCCTTCTATTCACGTGCAATATGTCGAGGCACACAAGGCGGCAGCGAAAGCAGTGCGAAAGCCAGAGCTAATTCCTGGAAGAAGTTCGGTGAAGTGTTGGAGTCGAATTTCCACATGGCAAACAAGGTATTCTGGCAGACCTGTCGCCATCTCCGAGGTGAAAAGAAGGACAGTCTAAGAGTCTTGAAGGACAAGTCTGGAAACTCTCTTACCGAGGATGATGACATTCTTCGGCAATGCAGAGAGTACTTTGAGGAACACCTTGACCCCGAGCAACCGCAACAAAACTCGCGTGTAGAGCAGCAGGGGGTGGATATTACCATCTCTGTACATGAAATTACACAAGCTATGAAATGCTTTAAAAATGGAAAGGCTGCTGGAATTGATAAAATCCGTCCTGAAATGCTCGAAGCAT